CATAAGTTGAATGTCTTCATTCATCTTCAGAACAGTTATGAGAAGGGACCTGCAGGCTTGCTGACATCCCTTTACTTCAGAAACATCTCTCGGCAAGCTGCTTACAGTCTCTGGTGTGGGGCATAATTGAAACTCTGAGGAATGTTCAGGAATCTGAGAGGGCTCCGAAAGTTCATGGAAAAATTACCACCGGTTTTAATTCCATTTTTCCACAAACTTTTGGAAGCCCCCTCATATAAGTTGATAAGGTTATGAGAAATAAGAAAATTGTTAGGAATGCAAAACCTTTGTAAACATGAGACTTTAAGTAAGAAGGTACAGCAGGCAGAAGGATTATTCAGATATTTTATACCAGTGACCACATGAAACCGGTATGGAGGATAAACCTGGAACCCTGAGTTTTAAGGGAAAAGATAAAGAAGTAGACCCAATATCAACTAGAAGAAGAAACTGGCTGAAAACAGCAAACAATGGGGAAAAAGTGAAGCGGTAAACTGTCAACGGTCCCCAGAGTGTGGTTGGTCATTTTGAATTTTTACAAGCAGCATCCCCATCAGGGCAGCCATGTGATAACTGGCTTCACTTGCTTGGGACTGGACCAGGGTCTACACCAGAGCTGGCGACAACAGGAGTGCAATCTTCTCCTTCCTCTCCACTCCCTTCTGGTGACCAGAACTGGGCCACCCCCGACGGATAACCACCACCCAGCAGCTTCGGCCACCTCAATTCTATGCAGCCCGCTCTCTAACAGACTGGGTGGCAGGTGCATACCACCTCTGTGTTTGGAGGCATGAGCACACTGCTTCGTTAGCCCAGCAAAGTGTACTGTCAGAATGTCCCAGGCTACCTTCTAGAACAACAAAAACTCCTTCTGTACTGGGTGTCCTGCTCCAGCCACCTTTGAGGCTGGCAGGAGCTCTGTCCTAGACTGGGCACTTGGCCCCTAGCTGCACCTGGACCTGCAGGAACTGTGTCCCAGACCAGGTACCCTAACGCTAGCCAACCCCTAGGCAGCAAAAGCACTACTCAGGAGTCCCACCCAAGCCAAGTCTTAAAAGCTCATGAACGGCTACTAATGTGCAACTATTAGTCTCTCCCTGTTCAGAGGGTAGAAGCGCGAAGAAACTGAAGATGCTAAGAAGTCCACTGGACTAATAGACCTCATGAATGGGTCTGCATGACCCTGAGACCAGAACTAGATCATTCTTGGCTACCACTACCCAACTGCACTGAAAAGAATCACATTAGAAAGACGTGGATAGAGTGGGATACAGATGTGGACTAAAACTCAAAACCATAAAAAAGACCAGGCTTATTAGTCAGACAGAGACTTGTGCAACCACCTAGACTATGGCCCTTAGTTATCCTTCGAATCTAGAAAGGAATTTTTCTGTCTGGCTCACTTTACAGCAAAACAACAGACAGGTCTGTAAGGGGAACAGTAAGACTTGGGAGGTGAGGTGGTTAGATTTCATGTTAACTTGCACCTGTGTGAAAGTGTAGGGGTAAAGTCCAACCTACCAATCAAGTCACAGCCTGATGATACCTCCTTGGGGTGTGTAGCCTTTTTATAGGAGAGAGAGTAGGAAGTCTCTTTCCTCTTGCCTTATACCCTCCTGCTTATTTGGATTCTGTGTCTGCCTCTAGAGGTAGCCCCGTGAGGGCGCATCAACCTGGGGGCTGTAGGCACCCTGCCATGTACCTATTGACCTTGGATCCACATGACTCTGCACCCACTGTCCTATGCTCTCCCTGCTTCACTCTTCTGTGTCATCAGCCTGTGGCTATATGAGGGCTTTGGCTAGCATGGAACTCAGGGATTTGCGTTAGATTGGGCTGAGCTGGTTCTTTGATATAAAATTTCTTGATAGAAAGTTCTTTCTTATACATATATGAGTGCCACTGGCTTTGTTTCTCTGGACAACCCAGACTAGTACAGGAGTTACGCACACCTTAAAACCAACCATTTGAGATCACAAGGGCGACATTTATTCAAGGTCAATGTTCTGAAGAGTTCGGAAGGAAGGAGGAATGTTAACAGGAAATAGAGAAAGTGTGGTGCATGCAATCAAAAACATGAAATGACATGTGCATTAATTATTGAACAGAAGAATGGTAAGCTATGTAGACATTCACCCAATTCACAAGTTAAAAAGAAAAATGGCAAAGAAAAGCTAACAACAAAGGGTAGCCAATAGGACTAATGTCTGAATTCTCAGTGGACACCATACAGGGAAAGAAGCAATGGATGGCATGGATAGAACTCTGAAAGAAAGAACGAACGAACAAAAGAGAGAAAGAAAAAAACATCAATAAAGAATTATACACCCAACAAAAGTGTCCCTCAAATAAATGGCAATATTGGGAAATTTCAGGTAAATAGAACTTAAATGGAATTTGTGAAATTTAGACCAACGTTACATGAAATATTAAAGGGACTTCTTTGGTTCTTTGGACAGAGAACCAATAAGGGCTGAAAACAACCTGAGATCAACACCCATGAGAACATCACTCAGAAGGCGAACCAAACACAGAAACACCTACAGTAAAATGTATTTACAAGACTGGAAATAGGGAATCGGAGACATCAGTTTGCAAGCAGAGACAACTACAAAGCACAAAGAGGATGTAAATGATGTAATTACAGACTTTCCAAATGCAAGGAAGTCAAAACCATTTCAAGACAGAATGGACCGTTTCAAACTCGGTGAAAAAAATAAATGAGTTATAGGATAATCTCAAAGAAAATTAAAAAATCTCAGAAAGATAAAAAGAGTAACATTTTAAAGATTTAGTAATTATAACAATTGCAATAAAATTAAGAAAATCTATAAATAAAATGTACGTAGCAAGAAAATGATATAGGCAAAATCAGCAGTTTCACAAAAACAACAACAAAAGCTTCACACATACACAGCAAAATTATAGTAATAAACTCTCATCTTTTGGCAATTACAGAGAATGTAAATTAATTAAAAACACCAGTTAAGGAGACAGAACACAACAGAGTGAATAATGAAAGAGGCACATCATTATTCTGTCTATAAGAGACATAACTTTAAACACAAAAGATAAAAAGGGACCAAACAAAAATCAGGTAAGTGAAAATGAAAAAATATCTGATAAAATAAGCTTTAAAGAGAAAACTAGCATAGGACACTGTGGGGATTTAAAAAGCTTGTGAACTTTTAATTCCATTTCTCCACGAACTTTCTGTAGCCTTTCCGCCTACAGTGACTAAGGGGCTCAATCAAACAAAAGGACAGGGCCATAGTAAGTCTGTCTCTGCACTCAGTCAAAGGACCCCCCATATGGAAGGGTTTTAAAAAATTAGTGGGAAAATTCCATTTTCATTTGTGTTAGGCCGGGTTGACTAAAAAACAAATCCACTGACACTCATATATATGTAAGAGACAGCTTTATATCAAGAGGCAATTAATTATATATCAAGTAAACATCCCAGCCCAGTCCAACTTAAGTCTGTAAGTCTGGATACTAGTCCCTAAGTCCCTCTTCAGATTCACACAAGCACATGCGATGATGCAGCATGCAGAAATACCACAAGCCGATGGGTTCAAAGTCTTGTGGATTCTATGATGGTGGGCGCGTCTTCAGGGCTCTGGCTGTAACCAGGGTCAGGCAGCAGGGAAGGTGAAGGCAGAGAGAGAACGGAAGGCGCCTAAGGCCCTCCTTCTGCGAAGGCCACACCCACAAGGAGTTCTATCAGGCTGTGATCCAACTGACAGGCTAAACTCCAACCCTACATTTTTATATATCTTCAAGTTGATATGAAATTATGTAACTACCACATCATTCAAGTCCATTTTCTCCCCCCCACATTTTTCCTCCACAAACTTTTTGAAGCCCCTTTTGTACATAAATCTAATTTTAAAAGAATTGAAAGAGAAACAGATAACTCTACAATAATAGAAGACTTTAATATACCTTTTTTGATGAGGAAAGGAATGACCAGAAAGAAAATCAATAAAAACCCAGAAAAACTAAACAATACAATCAACCAATGTAAGCCTCATAGACATATAATACAATCTGCCCAACAACAAAATATCCAATCTTTTCCAGTGCACATAGAACATTCTCTAGAATAGACCATGTTAGTCCACAAAGCAAGCCTCAGTAAACTGAAAGAAAAAAAAAATCAAAATACAACAAGGCATCTTTTCAGACCAACTTTTCTATGGGATGGAAAAATACCCTGGAAAAACAAAGCACTGCCAGTGCAGGAGGTATCGCACTTCCCAACTGCAAAACCTACTGCACAACCACACTGCCCACAGCACTCAAACAGCCCTACACCAATGGGGCAGAATTGAGAACCCCGATGTAGCCCCATTTCTCTATGGACAGCTGAACTGTGAAAAATGGTGGAAACTCATTAAATTGGGAAGAGATAATCTCCTTAACAAATAGTGCTGGCAAAACGAGATATTAATTTGTAGAAAAAGGAAACAGGACCCATATTTCACACCATGTAATGAAAAAGAACCCAAGATGGATCAAAGATTTACAAGGACCATCAAAGGAAAAAACAAGGATAAACTTAGGGGTCTTCCCGCATGGCCTAACAAAAAATGCACATACAGCAGAAGACAAACCAGAGGACTGCAATCTTTTACAAAGTAGTCATTTATGCATATATTAAAAGAGTTAAAAGAGAAGCCACAAACGGGAAAAATTAGGGCAATGACATATCATGCAATAAGCAATTCTCTAAAATTTATAGAAAGCTTTACTTCCTCAATAATAAAATGTCCGGACGCCAGGTGTGCGCTGAGTGGGGTGTGGAGGTGAGCCGGGCCTGCTGCATGAGGAATCGGAGGGGAACGGCTGGGGTCCACCCTGAGACGCGGAGAAAGAGTGGGCAGAGCGGGTTTAAGCCAGCGCGTCTGGTGCGGACCACCGAGGTAGTGCGGGGTGACCCAGGCAGCTTTTCAACCAGGTCTTCTGTGCACGGACTGCAACCCCAGCAAACCCGCAGAATGGCTGCCAACAAGAATAAGAGCCAGAGCTCCTTGGCTCTCCACAAGGTGATCATGGTTGGCAGTGGGGGTGTTGGCAAGTCAGGCGACTCTTCAGTTTATGTATGATGAGTTTGTGGAAGACTATGAACCTACCAAAGCGGACAGTTACAGGAAGAAAGTGGTTCTTGATGGTGAAGAAGTTCAGATAGATATTCTGGATACTGCGGGGCAGGAGGACTATGCAGCCATTCGAGACAACTATTTTTGGAGTGGGGAAGGCTTTCTCTTAGTGTTTTCAATCACAGAACATGAGTCCTTTACAGCAACGGCCGAATTCAGGGAACAGATTCTCCGAGTTAAGGCTGAAGAAGATAAAATTCCACTGCTAGTGGAAGGAAACAAATCGGACTTAGAGGAGCGGAGGCAGGTGCCCATTGAGGAGGCCAGAAGTAAAGCCGAAGAGTGGGGTGTGCAGTATGTGGAGACGTCAGCTAAAACACACGCCAACGTGGACAAGGTGTTCTTTGACCTGATGAGAGACATCAGAGCCAAGAAGCTATCAGAAAACAAAGAGAAGAATGGCAAGAAAAGCAGCAAGAACAAGAAGAGTCTTAAAGAAAGATGTTGCTTACTCAGAATACCAAGACGGATGGTGGAAATAAGGCAGTTGCCACTAAGGACACAGGGCTGGGTTTGCTTCGAGAAGATTGTGTTTGACTTCCTTGATTGCGCTCCGCTCTCCACAACCTCACTCACACACTGAGGAACAATTTGCCAGTCCGGCTAGCAGTCATAATGAGTCCTGTTCTTGCTATGGAATGGCTACTTGGTCAGGAAGTTTTGGAGTTTCGTTTTTTACCTCCTTCTAACGTTCTTTAATCACATGAGTAATGCTACAGGTAGGAGGTAGTCTTATAAAAAGAAAAAGTATTGTCATAACATTGTATTTTATCCTCGTTTTATAACATTGGCATCTTTTATTTTAAAGTTATCTCATTAGATGTTACAAAAAGGGGTGGGTAAGGCTCCCTTTTCACTTCAGCAGCAATCTGAAAAATTCATTAAGCCTACTAACAGTAAATTCAAAGATTAAAAACGCAAGTTTCTTGGCTACACTCTGTGCGTCTGAAGCATAGCTTAACAAAGAAATGTGAATTGGATCAAATCAGCTAACACCAAGCTTACAAACCCTTCAGAAATATGAAAACATGTCATTGTTTTCTTTATATTTACAAGGTGTACAGTGTTGGATATTTGTCTCACGTAGTATCTTGTTTTTGGTAAGAACTTATTTTTAGTAGATTAAGTGAACATTTGAGAGCAGTATACTTTATAAGTGAAATTATTTTCTAATCCAGATTTTTTTGGTAAGTTTGGCTAAATCCTTTTCTAATTGCCAGCCACATTCTGTTAAGCCCTCCTTCTCCATTAGTGATCACTGAATTAGTGCAGTCTGCCCCCCCACCGACACCACCCCCCCCCAAGAGACGTCACTCTGCTTGCAGATACCCACTGTCCCTCTTTTGTTCCTTTTAAGTGGAACACAAATTCTTCTGGAGAATGTGCTAAATTCAAGTTGTCCTCTAAACTCATGACACCAGGCCTGTGCCCCTCTTAGGACAGCTCAGCCACTCCAAATCTCAATGAGAAAAGTGGGAAAAGGTAAAACAGGCCACTGTCCCATTAACATCTGAAGATTGGCAGTTCCTCAAAAATGGCTGTTCTTTTCAATAACTTTCCTCTGAGACAGCCATAGAATTAATTGGACAAAGATTTTTACCAGTGAGATATTGTTGTATGTCAGTATTTTTCATATCAGTGTTATAAATTCAGCAATCAGAAGTAATGTCATCAATAAGGGAGTTCTGTGATAAAAACTCTATACTCAGGACACTTTTCAGAAATGACATATCATGTGTGGGTGCCAAAAGGAAATTGGGGTGGGGAGAGCCAGGACCTTTCAAATTTATGGTTATTCTAGGAATTGTAGCAATTATGATCTGGCAGGAAAAAAAAATCTTGTATCCCCTCCAAAAAAATCATGGACTTTTTTGAATAAAAATATATAGACAAGTAAAAACAAACAAACAAACAAACAAACAAACAAACAAAATGACCAACCATCCAATTGAAAATAGGGCAGACTACATGAATACTTTCCCTAAGTGGGCATAACAGGTGGTCAACAAACTGATAAAGAATGCTTAAGATTATTAGCCTTTAGAGGGTGGCAAATCACAACAGTGAAGTTATCATTTCATTCCTGTATCAAAAGCAATGTAAAAAACCCCACAGAAAACAACAAATGGTCATGAGAATATGGTATAAACAATGTGAGAATTCGCTGTGACTTGAAAGGGTTTAAGCACAACCATGTTTATTGAAGCACGAGTCGTAACAGCAAAAAGATGGGAAGAATCTAAGTGTCCGTAAGCAGATGAGTGGTTAACACGCTGCGGGGCATACACACAATGAAATACTACCTGGTGTTCATGAATAATTATAACCCTGAAAACCACACAAAACCAATGTGGAGTGAAATCAGTCCGTCACAAAAGGATAAATGTTGTAAGTTCTTGGAATAATTCTATTACCTTGTGATTCCAATTTCCCACACACTTTTCAAATCCCCCTTATATGAAACCAAACAAGAAAAACTTTTCACATAAAATAAACATTCTTTGATGGTTACCAGGGGCGAGAGGGGCAGAGGGGTAAGTCTTTAACTAGAGGACAGACATAACATATATTAACTCAGAGGAAAGGAAAGGCAATATACAGTGAAACATGGTAAGAACAAGGACAGGCACTGGGAGCAGTGTAAGACTTACAGGTAAATATTACCATACACACAATCCTGCACGAATAGAACTAACGATTATGATGTGATTCCCCCCCTAAAGTGAGCTGAGTGCATACAGAGATAGACATGAAAGCTGCACTGGGGTGGAAAGGAGAACGCAACTATACCCACTGTCCCAGACTGAAGTGTGGTTTCCCCCTCCCCACCCTGTATGTGCCAAATGGAGTGGAGCATGATTCCATGGGCTGACCATTATATAATGATGTAATGAGGCAGTTATGGTAGGAGAAAGATGAAGCTCTCTACTCCAGTAACGATTTAAAGCATTGGAAGCCCACAGGGGCAGTTCTACTCTGTCCTATAGGGCTGCTATGCATCAGAGTTGAACTGATGGCAGTTATGAGCCCCCCTATAAAGTGATCTGATGGGATAAACGTAGCAATGGTAAAAGGAACAGGATGGGATATAGCACGCTTATCTTCTAGTCAGAGCCCTTATCTGCCGTAGGGGAGTTTCCCTGGAGTGTGGACTGAGCCATCTTTTACCTACAAGAGAAAAGAGAGAGAGCCTGCAAGAAAGATGAGCTGGGAGCTCAGTGGGAAACTCCCCGTCTCCGGGAAAGACTGGTGCCAAGTCACGTGGAGTCCTTCTTTCAAGGGATGCCAAATCTACAGATGCCGTAAGGAGAAGAGGACCTTGCACCAGAACCGATAGAGACAGAACGCCTTCTCCTTGAGTTGGCACCTGGAATCTAGGCTTCTCATCTCCGAGATGGAGAGAATCAGATTCTGCTTGTTACAGCCATCCACTTAGTGTTCCTGCTGTCACTGCATTAGAAAACCAAGAAACCCACTAATAAATACATAGGTTGGCAGAGAATTATTTCTACATATGTATTTATATATGCTGCAAATATATCTGAAGCCCTGGTGGTGCTGTGGGTTATACACTGAGCTGCTAGCCCCAAGGTCAGTGGCTTGGTCCCTTAGGCGCTCTGTAGGAGAAAGGAAGCTGTCCACTGCTGGAGAAAGTCTCAGAAACCCACAGGGGCAGTTCTCTGTCCTGTAGGACAGCTATGAGCTGGAACTGACTCAAAGGCAGTGGTCTGGTGCATATTCCTGAGTATAGTATACAGGAGCATACGAGAGGCAAATTAGTGAAACTTAATGATAAGAAATGCCTTTAGGGAGTGAGTCACTGGGCCTGGGTGCTCAGAGACAACTGAGGAATATCAAAGTCAATTGGCCTGAGATAGTTCACTAAGAAATGCTCTGCAACCTACGCTGGTGAGTTGCCAGTGGAGTCTTAAAAGCTTGGGAGCAGCTACCCAAGGTGCTACTGTGGGTCTCTCCCCGTCTGGAGCAAGAGTCCCACTGCCACGGAATCAATGCCAACTCAGTGTTCTGATACAGGACCAGAGCGGATCAGCTTCAGGCTTCTGAGACTGCAAGTTTTTATGGGACAATTTTACCTTTTTCCTTGAGGAGTGACTGGTGGGTTTGTATTGCCAACCTTGAGGGCAGCAGTGCAAATGCTTAGCCTCATGGCACCACCAGGGCTCTTTGGAGTAAAGACACATGGAATCAAAGACACATGGAAACAATTAGTCCAAAGGAATAACGAACCACAAAAAACTCAGCCTGTGAACCAGAAACACTAGATTGTGCCTGGCCAATGCTACTAACCACTCTGAAGGGGGGATCAGAGTCCTCGGCAGCATGAGAGAAAAAAATACAGAATAAAACTCAAAACCATTACAAAAAAAAAAAGGAGTAGGTTTATGGGTCAAATGGAGGCTGGTGAAAACAAGACGTGGCACTTAGTCACCCTTTGGGCCTGGAATTACACCTGCTCCTGAGGCTCAATTTCACAGCCAAATGACAGGTCTGTGAAGTGAACAGTAACACTGGGGAGGTAAGCACTCCTGAGGACGCTCTACCGTTGGAGTTCAAAAGGGCACCCACGTGTAGTGTAACAACATATCTGGGTGGCTCTGGATGAAGGGCAGCAGGGCACTCTTCTTCCGCGGCGTCTCACAGCCCCTAGGACCTTGCAGCATGCAGTCTGAAAACCACTGGTCTGTCACCAAAGTCACGATAAGTAACAGTGGCTTCTTGTACAACACTTTACAAATTAAATTTTTGCACATTAAGTTTTACCTTTCCTGTGTGTATCTATACTGCTTAAAAGAATCCTGATGTCAGCTCGTATGTACAGTGAAGACTTACAGCGGGCTCTATCCATTTTTAAGGTTTAGATTTTCACACCTTGAGCTTTCTTAAGGTAGGAGGCTAAGGAAGGAACAGAAGGCGTTCCATTTTGGCCAGTCTCATGAAAACAACCTCCATTTCCCCTCCTGTGCACTCTTTAACCAACAGATGTCACTAAAGATACCAGTACCCAGAGGCAAAGAAAGACAAGATTAGACAAATGGAAATTGAGCATTAAAAACATCCAGTTCCTAAAACTGAGAAGTAGGTTTCCAAAGTAATAACATTTATTACACTGCATGCAACATTTTAACCAAAAATTTAAAGAAATTTCTTTTATTAAGTTGCTCAGGCTGAATGGATCATTGCACTAAGTTTTGAAATACATGTTCTTGAAGCAATTTAAAACTCATTAGAAATAATAGGCTTGGGCGAGTAGAAAATGTGATAAAATTTAATCCTCATCCAAATGTTACCTGGGCTGTACAAACAGGAAATTGTTTTGTGCTACTGTGGCTAACCTCCTTGCTGACCCTGAGCTGTAACGGCGAGAACAGCTGAGAGCTGAAGCAAAATTAAAAACTTACATCAAAGTATATCATGACAGAATATAGATAAATAAAACAGCATATCAAAAGTATTATTTTTCTGCCAGTCTCAAAGAGCAGAGAGGTGGAGGTACTCCACAAAATGGGTAACAAATCAGGTACATTTGGATATGAGTCTGTCTCCTGCTGCACCGCCCAAATCAATGACCATCTAGACACTGCCCATGAGAGGTGAGCAGCGCAGAAACCCAGTGAGGATGGGGACAGATGGGATCACAGAATGCTCTGGCCTCTTTCCTCCACAGACTTCCCCTTCCTTCACCTGAGCTTACTAGAGAAATAAATAAAGTTGGCTCTTCTGTTTCTTTCTGCTCACGCTTCCCCTCATCTTCCATCACGCACTCTCCCTCCAGTGAGCACATGAGACTCCCCAGAGGTGAAGGCATGGAGTGAAACATTACGGACAGCAGGACAGGCACCGTTGGCAGGGCTGATGAGAATGAGCAGAGTTTCGATGAAAGGCAGCTTCCTCTTATTTTATGCAAAGTCCACGTGCACTTTCACGGGAAAAACTGTTGATGGGCACTTTCCCATTGACTCTCTAGTCTCCCTTAAGTTTGGGGATTAAAAACCCCTCCACACGATACAAGACAGGGTTTCATCGTAAACATCTGATCTGTGACCACTCCTCAGAGGCAGTAGGAATATGGAAAGACTATCGTCTGAAGTCAAATAGGCTTCTAATGAAATTCCCATTAAACTATTTGCTAACTATGTAATATCTGGCAAATCTCTTAACCTCTCTGAGCTTCATAATGATAATCATAGTAGTTAACTGGTCTAAGGGCTTTCCATACATTATCTCATTGAATTCTCACAGCAATCTTATGAGGCAGGTATTATTTTCTCTGTTAGCAGAAAACTGAAGCAACAGAGAGGCTTAGCAACTTAATCAAGGCCCTAAGACTCATGAGTAGCAGGTAATAACCCTACCTCTCCTGAGGATTCGTGGACTAATGCATGTTAAATGGTCTAGTCCAGAGGCAGGTATATATGAGCTGATTTAAAAAATGAAAGCTACCATTATTATTTTTCCAAATTAATGAGTGGAATCTTAAACTCCTTACTTGTTTTTCTGCCCAAGAATGCTCTGAAGATCTTTTCCCTGCCACCTCCCTTCTCTTCCCCGCAACCCGCCTCCTTCCCACATCTCCACCTCCCCAGCAATGTCCTACAGCTATCTTTTGCTGCTATGCCCTTGTCTATGTCAGACAACCTGATATGGGCCTAGTGGCTTTCAAAGCCCTTACATTTGTCATAGTTCAGTGACACCCTTTTGGTGTGACTCTGTCCGAGAGATCTAGTGGTACCTAAAGGTTCACTGCACTCATCAGTCTCACTGCAGTAGTGAATATGCCCCAAAGGTAAAGAAATACACTTAGTGATGAAGTTAAATGGCCAGGAAAGCTACCATTGTGACTGGTAGCAGGAATCTAACGGGTTTTGTATAGCTAAAGCTTTATCCTTCATTTACTAGGAGATTTTTCAGTATGCACCTTTTCATGATGGCAATGAGTTTCTTGTCAAGAGTAAGGGGATAGAATCTCTGAACTGGATACAGGGAAATGGATGCAGGACAGTGTGGTCCACGCAGTGGGCATCACAGAACAGAAATACGATACTGGTCAGTGTACCCCACCTGAGGAAAGCTCGCTCTGTGACTGTGAGACAAAGGCCTGGGGTCACGGAAAGGCACATTTTGTGTGGGCCTACTCCAAGACAGACCCTGCTCCAGAACCTGTTCCTAGGAGCTCACTTAATCCCCCTAATTTCAAGTCGACAGGTCCTAATTTTATACATGAGAAAACTAGACACAGAGGGGTAATACAGTGTCTTAGCTGAAGGTTACTGGGTTAAAAAGAGTTGATATTAGGATTCAAGTTCAGATTAACCTCTAAAGCCTGTGTTTTTGCTAATATACCATGCTGTTTTGAGGAAAAGGTCTAGAGACATACTAAGGGGTTTCAAACATGGAAAAATGGCATTTATACATGATGACTTTTTTCCAAGAACCTTTTGAAGACCCCTTGCACAGCAGTATAAGACACTGAAAGGATCCATATCCACTGGACGTTATACAGACTGTGCTTAGGACTTTTTAAAAAAGGAGTCCATAATCTACCTTTAGGGGGAGGAGTACTTCCACTTTACATCAGTTGAATGTGTCAAGCAGAGGCGGACCCTGTGCTCATGCAGTTGCTGATGCAGATAAAAATAAGGGTGTGCACGTTTACAGTCATAGAGGGGCTTTCTGCAACATCCACGTACTTAGAAGCTCAACTCTACTACTCAAATGTGTAATTAAATGCAAGCATTTGAAACAGAGGACTCTAATGTACACAGATCTGATCCCCAGATCTGCTTCGAACTAAACATCAATTTGAAACTTCTACTTTTCTTTTTTCTGAAAAAGTAATTGGCTCTTTCTGGTTGCATTCTCTTACTCTCTCTCTCTCTCTCTCTCACACGCACGCACGCACGGCACGCTCTCTCTCTTAAAATGAAGAGGCTTTACAAATCTTGTAAGAACTGTTTCTAGGAGTACTCAAAAAGAAAAATGACAATTTTCGAGACCAAATGTCCTTAGGGTTGGCTTGGCTACAGGTTTGAGAAAGTGGGGCCAGGCCAAAAAGAGAGGACAAAGGAAAGCACTGGCCACGTCAGCTGGGGGGAAGGGCCCTGCCCCGAGCCCAGCTCACAGCCAGCACTTTGTCAGTGTGCTGGATGTGGTTAAGAGGGTCCTTCTCCTGCCCTTCTCCATTGTCTAGCTACATAACCCATCTCAGAGAATCGAGGACTTCACTGATGACATTGGGGAGTGTTCAGGGGAGCCCTGGTGGCACCGGAGGACAAATGGTGGGTAGCTAACCATAAGGTTGGTAATTTGAATCCACCGTTGGCTGCAGCAGGACACCAAGGTGAGGCTGCCTGTTTCCAGAGGTATAGCCATGGAAAGCTGAGGGGCCAGTCCTACTCTGCCCTACAGGGTGACTATGAGCTGGGATTGACTCAATGGCAGTAAGAAGGCGCACAGTGCTAACAAAGTTCTATAGTGTTTAGACTGTAATTCAATCTTAACTGTCGAACTCTGCTTTAAGGGGTTCAGTCCCCCAAATGCCCCATAATAAAATATTAATGCTCCTTACAAGGATTATTTTTCTACACAATGCCTACTTCTCCGGATGCCAACATGACAGCTACCTAGCCTTTTGCATGTCTATTATCCATTTCACAAATTCATACAGATATGAACGTTCAAAAGAACAAAGTAACTGAAGTTACCAAAGTAACTCTCTTTCCTCCAAAGAGATAAAGGCAGATTTCAGAGACAAATCCAGAAAAGGATACTCACCGTAAGTGCAAATCATTTTACTAGCTTCTCTGAAGAGAAGAATTCCGTTAGGAGATGAGACATCAAAATTCAAGCGCTGAGATCTAAGAAATAGAGCAAAAAATTAGACTATACAGATAAGGAAACCAAATGTAGGTTTAAACTGTCCAGCATTTTCATTTAACAGAACTAGCAACAGTACAGTTAATGCTTTTTTAAAGTGCCATGCCAGTCAACAAGTGCTGATAAAATATGTAAGCTCACTACTTTTTCACTATAAAGCTGGTAGGCTAATTCAAGGAGTGTCTCTGCTCTCGCGGAGCGCATCCAGGGTCTGATACAGCCGTCCCAAGAACAGCTGACGTCCGAGCTCAGTGTCTCCTGCCTTTCTTTCAACTTTAGCCAGTTTGCCTCCTTTCATTGAACCTTTCCCATCTAATTATGGCAGAGCGTTTGAGACAGCCCTGTATACAAGACTTGCTGTGTTTTCTTACCTATAATTTAACCAACACTACCATTAACAGAACATTTTGTTTCGGCCAGGCACTTTACATTTACTTCTCACAACAGCCTTTTAAGGTGAGAGTTATTCTCTTCATTTCATGGGAATGAAGATTTAGAGAAGGCGGGATTGGGGTCCCCGCTCTGTGGAGAATCCAGGATGCAAACAGAGGCCAGTGAAATCTGAACTTTGAGCCTTTTTACAATGCCATGCTGCCTTCTGCCAAAAATCAGTCATAGATCATTCTTATTTTTTCTAAAATGGAAGCAATACATTGTAAATGGGAAGGCAAGACTATTGCATTTAAGATGCATGCAAGGCGCAAATGTGCCTGTTTTTAGGTAAGACAGGTTATCTCCTAGCAAATCTATTCTATTCACTAAGTTAGAGAATTGATATTTTAAGTCCTTACTACTTAGAGCAGTTGCTGCTGGCTTTTTAGGTTATAGACTCCTTTGGGAAACCAATGGATGCTAAAGACCCTATACACACACACACACACACACACATTTTGCAGTCAATTCCAGAGGGCTTGCAGATATGAGAAATCCCTGACCTGGGAGGATCTATCCATCTTTGGGCCAAAATGTATGAAAAAGGGTTGATGTAGCAGTTATAATACTACAACAAACAGATGACCATGTATCAGTTTCTGTAGCTACTTGGGATAAAAGCATACATGTGATGGATGAGAAAGTCTAGGCTCCTTCCATTTTTCCATTTGCAATCCACCTATAGTGCCCGGCACACAGTTTGGAAAACAAATTCTACAGTGATAGCTGGCAAATCCAGATCCCTTTTACTGCACAGATGGGTAAGGAATCGTCTGATACTTCTGCTATTTTTCAAACGTATTAAACTACATTACAGACTACAGCTTCCACTGCACACAACTCAAGTAAGAGAAACCATCTTTAGAGTTCTCAGAGAAGAGCAATTCTACTGCTCTGCTTTTAGATGGGGGAAACAGCAAGAGCAGGCAGGGTAAGGACTGACATGCCACCCTGACATAATATTTTCCTTTTTATGGTCACTTAGGTTTGAGTTGGTGGGGCTATGCCTTGCCACTTGTACTTCCAAGAAATAATTGTATATTTTAGAAGAGGTTCACAAAAAAACCAAAAAAACCACCCATACTAGGTTATAGCAAAAAAAACAACACAAAGAAAAGACATTGGCCACAGTCCTGTTTGCCAAGATTAGAATGAATTGCTGCTTGTCAGTGCTTTTTCAAAATGCTGGGAATTAAATGCAATTACAAGTTATTAGAAATGTTATTATGAACATCTGAGTAGTGGCATGCAATTCCTGATTAAAGCAAATAAATGCATGTACACAATTCACATTAAATCCTAGAGAAGCACTGAGAAGACGATGTATTTTCTGAGGTAACAGATTTGCGTAGTTCTTAGGACAATTATGCTAGATGTAAATTATCTTTGCCTGCAGCAGACACAAAATATTTAACAATATACAATGCAATGTTTCTTCTCCCCGCCCCCTTACTGTTAAGAGCTTACTATACCAGTAAACATAATATCATAATATCAATTATCTGGTTGATAAAAATCATAATTTAACCACAAACTAGATTTTAATATAAAATTCACAGTTGCCCTTCCTTTGATTTTTAAGGCACTTACAAAAATGATTTTACAAAACTAAGAGATACTTACATTTCTCTGTCAGGTCTTTTCCCTCCTTTTGATTTAGGGTAAAATTTTTAAATTACTGCTGGGAGAGACTTAGCACCAGAGATAAAATTAGAGCTGCAGCCCATGCTCCTTCCCTGTATGGTTAGCTCCCTTCCAACAGGCATTTACAAAGAAGAATGGATGAAACAGGATGGCTAAGTGACAGGTAATTTGGTACTAAGCCATATTCACAATGACATCTTTTAAAGGGGTAAACCCAATTAGTTCATTACACTTCCCCCTTCTTTCATCTATATCTTTGATATCATTCATATGCAGAATGTTTGCATCTCTACTGGTCCTTGCAAAGTATAAGGTCAACTAGGCAATTTGTGAGAAGTGTTAAAGTTGCGATTTAAATGAAAACTGTGACTGTATAAGTCATCCAGGCACAGGCATGCTGGCAGAGAAGATAAAGCATAAATGAGAAGCTGAAGCAGGGACAATCATTAGGGTTCCTGGGACAAACTGTGTGGGTCACAGTTTCCTGATGTATAAAATGAGGCATGTCAACTCCTAGACCTCTAAACTTCATTACTACTTTGAAATCCTACTTATTTGCAGGTAAGCAAAGAACTCGTTAAAATAGCCATTTCTCCCCCATTTTGTGCCTTTGAGTATTTTTCAGGTAGTTGCAGTGGCCCCTCCCTGCCACAGAGCCCAGAGTCCCCATACTTGCCTCTCCCCAAAGATCTAAAACCTATTTAATTTGACTGATCACTTCAAGGCTCTAGCTAAGGCTTGAACACACACACACCAAGTAGAAGAGTGTGATCTTCTGCTCTTGCTGCCAGATTTCCCCCGTTCCTCAGTCACCCTGCTTACCTGTTTTGCATCAGTTCTGCCATAAGTTTTAAGATGGGAGTGGTGCACGCCGGCTCTCCACACCACTGCCCAATAGCCCTCTGAAGAATGGGAAGGTAGGTCGGGTAACTTTTAGAGAGGCCGTTAAAGAATTTCCGGGCTCAAAGAAACATTGTTCTTGAAAACGAGTACCACCTCTAAAGGGAAAAAGTGAATCCACACTCTTTCTAGGCTCAATATGTAATGGGGTTTATCAATGGTTCTCCCTACCTTTGTTGAGGGGCTACCCTATATGCTATATCGTATCATTCTTGGTATGTCCTATAAATAAATGACACATTTTAAAGTATCATACAATTCATAGATTTAAAGAACTGTTTAATATTATAGGAAAGAAAGTAAGTTTACTAAATGGGACTAAAAATAGATTTAAATTGCTACTATTTGGGGGGGGGGGAATGGCTATTATGAAATGTTTTAAAGACATTGCAGTCGAAAGATGCCGTATCATAAACCACATGTATTCATCACTCATCTTCAAATCTACCTACATTCTTAATTATTTAGAGTATCTTACTTGCTTTGCTTAGTTCCACTGTGTCTCCCAGGGATAAATGAACTATCAGCGACAAGAAAGACCTTGGGCAATTTTTAATCTATTCCAGGTGAGTGTCTCTAAAAGGTGGTCTGGATGCAGAGCCAAGAGAAATCCTCAAATGCCCTCCTAAAAACTCAGGAACGCTCCCCATTTCTCTGCAATCCGGAGAGCAGTTGTCTTCACAATACTGTCTCATAAGACTTCCAGGATCGAGAGATTCCTGGCCAAGACACGACAGCAAAATCGCCCCAATCCCCAGGCCAGGATTCCAAGATCAGGTACAAGTCCAAGAGCAGACACTGGAGAAGAATCAAGCTGGGCCTCCAAGGAGTCACCTGAGTGACCTTGGCTCACTAGCATTCAGTCATGAGGTTAAGGCTTCGCCACCATCTGGTCAATTGAACTTGTATTGGTAAACACCTGGCTTCTTCCTTGGATTTTATGCTTCTAAATTGAAAGAGTTTAACAATTAATAAATATGAATGGCCTTTGATTTGAGGAAAAGACAAATTCAGCCGTGTGTGTCTTGATAAAATTCAAACCAGAGACCACCAGAACGCAGCAAATTCTGAACCAGCGCCACGGGCCCTTGAATCCACTGGTCTCCTCCTCCAGTGATCGAGGATGAAGGCCCAAGGCTGAAAGAGCCAAAAAAAAAAAAGTACTCTGACATTCCATTTCCTGTTCCTCTTCACAATCCCTAAGATTGACTGTTCTTGCGGTATTTTTCCAATGCCCCGTCTCTCTGTTTCCGGTGAAAGTGATGAACTGAAGCACTTATTGGTGTGTTGTTCTCTGTGGCATGGTACAGACTTCCACGGTGAGAAAGGTCACTACAATTTCCTTCTTGCTCTCAGAATAAACTTTACACCCCATAACATAGCATCTGAGCTTCATAATGATCTGGCCCTTGCCTACCTCCGTTCCCATCATCATTCCTACCCTGTCTATGGTGTAGCCGCCGTTCAGAACCCCCTGAAAGTCCAATCACGCCAGCTCAGCTTCATTCCTCTGTGTACTGCAGCTCTGCCCACCACGTTCCTAACCTTTCCATCCTTCCATCAAGCTTCACTTCCACAGGATACTTTCTCTACTTGGTCAAGTGGGTGTACTCAGTGAGTATTAGTGTTGGCTGCTAAAGGGCAGAGACCCATGCATCCCTACTGTTTCTGTGCAAATTCAAGATCAACGTGGATGCTAATGATTGCAGGAAGTGTTCACTGGCACTGCACATGCCCCCTGTACCCAGCGCCAGGTTTGGTGTGCGTCTTGTGGATGGCACGGTACTCTGTGCTAGCACTTTGCTAAAAACCCTTGTCTCTCTCATCCTTGCACAGGTTTCTGAAGGGCAGATAGTTGCTGTACACCTGGCCTCGGTACAGACGTGGATATTCAGTAATAGTTGCTGCTGTAAGCCTGCCAACCTAAATATGAGGCATTGCATATTTATAAGAAATACCTACTCGGAGGGAGGGGAAAAATGAGGACCTAATGCCGGGGGTTTAAGTGGAGAGAAAATGTTTTGAGAATGATGTACAAATGCGTTTTACACAATTGATGTGTGTATGGATTGCGATAACAGTTGTATGAGCCCCTAATAAAATGTTAAAAAAAAAAACCTACTCAATTCCTTTTAACTGCATAGTTCACTTTGAAACCTCAAGAAATAATCAATGTAAGTTTCAATGAAAATTAACCCTCTAAATTGTTAAGACTGGCATGCACATGAAACAATATATATTTTTTGCCCTCTCTAGATACCATCTTAAGCCTGTATATGTGGATTTTGAAGTAATTTATTTAACAAGTATTTATTGAAGGTCTATTTTATAACAAGCACTGTTTTAGATTCGTTGTACACACAAGCGAACCAGGTTTTTAAAAATCACCATGCTCACGAAATATATATATCCTAACAAAAAACCAGAAATATAAAGTAAGTATAAAATATCAGAACACAATTCTGAAGAGAAGGAAGCAGAAAAGAGGACAAGGAGTGAGTGCACCTGGGAAATCTCTCCTAGAGGACAGTGAGGAAAATACTATCGGTGAAGCTGACGATTAACTATTCTTTACTCATTGATAGGTATAGACTTTCTCTATAGACTAGAACACTGTGTTGAGGTCTGTTTCGTTGTTGCTGTGATTCTTGGTAGACGGTGGACACTGTGAAATGTACTGTAGTCAGGGCTGGGGCCCAGAGATGAGTGAGACAGGGCTTCTACTCCTGGGGCGGTCCTCCTCCAACCAGGGTGGCAGACACATAGAAGAGACTGCGAACCCGAAATTCAGAAGACGTGCCCGTGGAACACGGGTGAGAGCATGAGCCAGGGATCCTTAATGGGAAAAGCATCTGGAAGGCTCGTCAAGAAACTGGAAAGACCCAAGTCTCCCAGTCTAGTGTGTCAAAGCACACACAAGCCCCCTTTGTGAAGCATTCTAGGCGGAATTAGGGCCACCACAGTTTTTCAGAGCACACGGCATCCACTATGGGATAAGGCCGGGGGATATGACGGGATGCTCCCTTTTCCGTGAGAATGACAGTGGTGCCAATTCTAATATGCTTCTGACAGAGGTGACTGCCACAGAGAAAATGAGTGATTATTGGAAAACAGAGCAGAGGTCTACTAAGCAGGGAGGTTAAAAGGGCTTCAGAGAAAGTGTACTCCTCTCACTGTCGGGCGGGAATTGGACCCCACTCTAGGAGTTTAATTTTCCAGGGGCCTTGTGAGGATTACACATATGTGAATAGGAGGAAAAAAGTAGGAACTCCTAGGAAAAAGTGGCACAACTCTGTTTTTACTTAAATTGTCTCATTGAGTTACTTAGGGTCACACTAGACAAATTAAAAATCAAAGGCATTGATGTGGTTACTCATAGAAAGTCTACGTGAAAAAAATGATAAACATCAGAGTACCCACGAAAGCCATGTATTCATTTGGTAGTTAGTGAGTAACACACGATTCTTTCCCATTAGGAGTGCATAGTGGGGAGGATATCACAGTAAACTAGAAGCAACAGAAGTGCTTTTGTTGAACTGCTGGGATGATAGAGGTGTGATGATGTGTCTGCAGCACAGAAAAGCCTGCCAGATTAGAGCAGATTTTCAGGGTCCGTTTTGAATGTGGACACACTTGTCCCATTGCTCACAAAGGCACCTGCGGCTGGAAGCCCTTTCCTTCTTCCCAGTCTGGCAATCCACTAGCCATCCTTCAACCTGCAGCCCAACTTTCACCCTCCCTGGGAAGCTTTTCCTATTTTGTAAAACACCAAACCAAACCAAACCAAACACACCCACACCAATCTCTTCATGTCAGTGCACTTGGTCCTTTGCATGCATCGTAAGTTTGTTATTGTTAGGCACCACTGAGTTGGTTCACACTCAGTCACCTTACAGACAGCATGAAACACTGGCTGGTCCTATCGTTCCTTACAGACAGCATGAAACACTGGCTGGTCCTATCGTTCTCACAACGGTTCTTATTCTTTGAGAACATTGTAGCAGCTACTATGTCAGTCCATCTCATTGAAGATCTTTTTACCCACTTCCTACTACTGACCTACTTTACCAAGTATGAGATCTTTCTCCAGTGACTGGGCCTTCCTGATACTATATGCCCATTGTAGGTGAGATGAAATCTCTCAGCCTTGCTTCTAATGAACATTCATTCTGGTTGTTACTTCTTCCAAAACCAGATGTGTTGGTTCCGTTCTTTGCCAACAGGACAATTCAAAGGCATCAATACTTGTTCAATCTTTCATCTTGAGGAATGTCAAAGTGTTCTTTCTTCCCTTGTAGTTTTCCAATTCCAGGTCTTTGGACAGTTCATATTATTATTTTACTTTGCCTTCTAGAACTGCCTTTTGAAATATTCTGTTTAGCTTTTAGCTGTCATTTCTTCTATCCATTTTAGCTACTATGCATTCAAAAGCAAGTCTGACATTCACTTTGCCTTTTCTTTCCATTCTACCCCCTTTATATTCTTTAAAGATATATATAGATGTATCATATGCCGAGAACGAGATTAAAAAATGCAACTTTAAAAAATTGTGAATTGGGTGAAGGTTTACAGAGTAGATGATTAAATGTTTACATTCAATAATTCACACATATTTTGTTTCATCTCAGGGACTGCCATCCCCTCACGGTAACCCCATTCTCCTCACTTCCTCTCTGGACCCTGTTTCCATTCATTCTTCCCTAAATATTCTGAATTTTGTCACTGGGTAACTGCTGGCCTTTTGATCTCAAATGGTTGATTATCTAGGATATGTGTACCTCACCAGTCTTCTTGTCCTTATAGACCTGTTTGCGGTTTGGCTCCAAATTAAGTCATAGAGGAGAGTCCAATACCAGACTTAAAGGACCACAGTCTTGGAGGTGTCTGGAAGAAAGCGTGATGGAAACTGAAGGCATATGGAGACAGTTGTTCCAGTGGACTAATGGATCACATGAACACCAGTCTTCATCACCATGAAACCAGAAAAATTAGATCATGCCAGGTTATGACCACCCACTGCTCTGAATAGA